CATGTTTACTAGTACGAACCGCCACACCACATGTATGTTCATTGTTCAAAGTCCTTATGTAGAAGAACCCATTTGTTTTTTCAACAGAAGCATGTACATGCCACATACATCCCCTTGATTCCTTATATGCACATTCTGCCGTAACCCTCAGCTTGTCATTTTTAACATACGTAAACTGAAAACCAACCTCAATAGCATACTTGCATAAAAAAGTACGGAACTCAACCACACCACCCTCAAACTTTTGTCTAACACTCGTAATATTATTCCGCCAACTAGCCGACAATAACACTTTTTCTTGGTGAGAACAAAACTTAGAGAGTGAATTCCTTTCAACATCCACCAGCCTATCACACTCACCATCCACAACATCTACCCAATTAGACCCCACTTCATCCTCTTCATCAGAAGTACTACATTTACTAACTGAAACATCAACTATATCAACACCGCGTGCACAAACAACCCTCAACATATTCAGAAAATCAATATTATTTCGAACCATACAATTCGGATGGCCCAAAATAGAATATGACATACACATAGTCTCAGGTTTCAAATTCTCCCATGTTTTACACAAAATGCCAACCAATTCCTCAAAATTCAATTCGCATGAAACATTAATGACAATAGTATCATTCCCATATTTGCACAGCAACAACACTGCACTGTCCATTGAAACTGAAACAAAAAACAACAAAGAAAATCACAGAAACACTTCACAATAACAACATCTCTGGTCAGAGAAATTTCTAAAAATTATAATTTTCTCTGAACTTAAAATAAAACTCCAAAGACATCTACAAACTGATATTCACCTTCAAGATGATAAAAAACAAAATCACAGAAACTTAATGAATCACAGAGAAATTTACTGCTAACAATTAAACACAATTATAGAAAAAAAATCACATAGAATACAAGTCCAGAAAAATACTTTTCTTTTCTCTGAACTACAAACTGAAAGTGAGTAACAAACTTACAATTTTCTCTGGACTACAAATACAAGTATAGAGAAATTTATGAACTTACATTCACTTTCTCATATTCTATCGCCATTACAAACTTCTAATAATATGTCCATATGCACTTATAATTTCCTCTGGACTACACAAACAATAGTGCAGAAAATGAAATTTCTCTGGTTTGAAAAAACATAGAACACAACTATAATTCATCAGCATGTTGATAAAAAAGCAGAGCACCAAAAATGAACTCTAAACATCAAAATCACCTACACTGTCAACACTATCTGAAATTGATCAAAAAAACAAAGAATGAAAAATTAATTCCAAAAATAAAAATCAACTCTATCAAGCTGGCCTCTCGCTAAACAAAAATAAAAATACATTTGGAATCTAAATCGAAAACAAACCTAATCCAACTCAACTCAAAAACCTAGATTAAAAAACAAATAATAAAAAATTAATTCCAAAAATAAAAATCAACTCTATCAAGCTGGCATCTCTCTACACAAAAATTCAAAACAAATATCAAAATGCATGTGCTATCTCCATCGAAAACAAACCTGATTCAACTCCATTGAAAATCTACGCGATCAATACACTATCACACCACTGAAATCTCCGACGAAATCTCCAACAAAATCTACACGATCGTAGCAATCTTTCTCGTCAACTCCACTGAAATCTCCGAAAAAACTCCACCATAAAATCTCCACTGAAATCTCCGACGAAAACTCCGACAAAATCTCCCCTTCAAATTCGGTTTCCAAAATGTATCAGTTAAGTCAACCATATAATATTCAAACAAATTTATGTTATAAAGGAAGGGTAATTTAGGTACTTTATAACCTAAAATAAATTTGAGGGACCTTAACCATCAAAACATATTATAAAGGACCTCTCCTCATATCAAAAGTAGAGGAGGGACCTTAGGCCAATTTTCCCAAAACAAAATAGGCTATTTTAGCCATAACAAACAAAACATCACATCCAACCTATAATCATTACATTATTCTCTCACAAAAAAAGTCAAAAAAGGGAGAGAATAAATTGTGTATATATTGATGTTATAGATGTTATGTCTTTAACAATGTTAGAAGCTCCTTATATAGGAGAGGATTACAAACCTGAATAGGAAAGTGGCCGAAAGTAGCCGAACACTAACTTAAAGTAATGTATAATAAAGACAAGTACTAACCTACTAACATCATTACTAGCACTAATATACACTAAAAGCCCCCCTCAAACTTGAGGAGGATAAAAATTAACCAACTTGAGTTTGGAGAGAGTAAAAAAATAGAAAAAGAAAATAAAATAAAATAGGATAGGAGACACTGTATGGTCGTGCCAGATCGTTGTTAAAGACATGGTATGGTCGTGTCACACCGTTGGAGAAGACACTGTATGGTCGTGTCGGACCGTTGTAGCAAATAAGGTCTGGACAGTTTACGAGGTCATGCCGGACCGATGTAGAAGCTAATCGGAATCAATATCGAGACAGTTTACGGGGTCATGTCGGACCGTTGTAAAAGTTGACCGGAATCATTGTCGGGACAGTTTACGGGGTCATGCCGGACCGATATAGAAGCTGACCGGAATCAATGTCGAGACAGTTTACGGGGTCATGCCGGACCGATGTAGATGACACTGTAGGATTGTGTATATAGGCTGCCCAAAAGATATACATGTACATATATATCGAGCCCTCAAAAGTCGCGCCCTCAAAAGGCCCACTGCATCAAAAGCCGTGCTCGACAGAAATCGTCGAGCGGCGAGCCATCAAAAGTTGCGCCGAACACGCGGCGATGCACGTGATCGACAGAGCGTCGTGTCGTCCGCGTCGTCATTGTCTATATAAACCGAGGCGGAGGCTGTGCAAACCAAACCAGTCTGAAACCTCTGAACATCTTCGTGCTGAAACACTCTGCAACCAACCCTTTCTGACATTACTAGTTTGAAATCCCTGCTGCTCGGAAACACTCAGCAACCCAAAACATGGCCTCTTCTTCCCGTGGTCTGCTCACTCTTTTTCCAGACCTCAACGAGTCCACAAGAGAGATAACCGGTGCGGTTGCCCTTAAACCTCAACCAAGCGCCCCTGGTTTTGCTCCGTTGACCTTTCCTATGCGGTCTGTGGAGCAAATAATGGCAACGCAATCAGATATTGAGGCCAATCAGTATACATTGAAGTCATGTGTGGAGACCATGACTGCAGTCACAAGCTTGTCGCACCGACTTCAAAGTAGGACAAATGAGGTGCAGCAGTTAAACGCCCAATTGGCTCTGCTCCAGCGCATGTATAAGAATGCGCGAGCAGAAATATGTGTACTAAAGGCGGAAAACAAGGAGCTGAAACGGAAGGCCACCATTATGTTCCGATTCGGAGGTCCGCCATATGCTGCGGGGGAGGAGCAAGGGGGAGTGAACAGGCTCGGCGGCAACTATTTAGTCCTAAGAATTTTCTTATGCACCATTTAATTCCATTTTGTTTGATAATATTTGCTTAGTTAATTTTGAACCTTTAACAGTTTACATTAATACCATTTCTATGTAGGTTTCCTTTCGAATTACCCCGATGTTCGTCGTCTTGAGATTTTTTTTTTTTTTGCAAAATCGTCGTCTTGAGATTGACACCTGAAATCTATCCTTCTATGCAACTTCACCACCGTCTAAAAAGGAAATAATAATGCAACACGATAGGCAGATGCTGTCTTAGTTCCGTAATTTCACATAAGTTAAATGATGAAAGTTGCCCACCAATGTTATAAGTCATGCACGCAATGATCAATTTCTCTATAATGGACCTCTCAGCTTACGCGAAAACTGTTAAGGCTAAACAGTATATAAATTTATAATTTAAAATTTATTAGTACATTATTTTTAAAAGTAATAATAAAATATAATAATTAAAAGAAAGACACAAGAATTGAATGTAAGACTATTTACTTAAGGAAAATTGCCTCGGACCTCAGTGGAGGTGACCCCACCACTCCACTATTTTTTCATTAGTCCATATACATATATATATATATATATATTTATTGGTCTTTCACTGGCTGCCTCCACGTGGAGGTGAGGTGCTGGGGTCACCCCCACTAGGGTCCCAGCAGGACTGTTACTTAATTTTAAAAAAAGGGTCTGGCTTTGGTTCAGGGCATGATCGGACTGCACCATGCTGTTGGGCCCGTGAGGACTCACTACGGGTCTCGTTTTGAAAATATGAACCGTTCAATGTGTAAAACTCGTCGAGTACTATATGTCTATAAAAAATCACGTTGATCGGATATCGATAGCTATGTGATCAAATCAGTTTTGTATAAAAAAAAAGACTGTGAATAAATTAACGGTTGACAAAAACTATTTTGATCACATAGCTATCAATATCCGATTAACGTGATTTTTTATAAACATATAGTACTCGACGAGTTCTACATATTAACAATTCAAATTTTTAAAACGAAACCCATAATAAACCCCTATGGATCCAACAGCACGGACTAATATGATCGTAGACTAGACCAAAGTCAGACCCTTAAAAAAAATATTTACATCACTTAAATAATATTAAAAAAAATCTTATAAATTCAAAATTAAAATTTATATTTCAAGGGGAGCGATGGGCTGATAACGGTGGGCTGACACCCTAGTTTATGAAAAAAAGCAGACACATGGTAGCAGTTACAAAATTACATACGCCACCCATAGATATATATAGAGAGAGAGATAGAGAGAGAGGAAGAAGAAAAGATGGTGACGTTGGTGGTGGCGACAACTACCGATCCGGCCTCAATCGGCCCCGCCTCCGCCCTCCTCGCCATGCCCGGTTGGCAGCCTGGTCTCTCCTTCGAGGTTTCGTCTATCCCATTCTCTCTGTCTCTTTTCCTTTCGTTGTTCTGATTACATGTGTCGCTGTGCTGACTGTTTAAATTCTGGAAAATTGAAAAAAGGGCATAACAAGCTTCGTTAATGAAGATGTGAGATTGTTACAACACGATAAGGGCATAGTCGAAGAGGATCACTTGGACAAGCGTTGGGAACAAGCCTCCTCTGAGGTCGTCCACGAGCTCATTTTCCTCAGCAAACACACCGCTGTCTCAAACCGCCCAGCCCTCACTATTCACCCAATTGGTACTAACATTTATAATACTCTTCTATAGAATTATGCCTCAAATAATGTCATTTCTTACACTCTAGTTTCTAAATTTTTCACTTTTTTCCTAAACTATGTAATCCATTATAATTTACAAAAGATTGCGACCAAAATTAAATAAGTCGTCTACTTTGGGACTAAAATACAATGTAGATTGCATACTGTGGAGACCGAAATGCATGCAATAAAATTAAAAGATTGGGGATTAAAATGCAATAAATTCTATGCTTTGGGACTAAAATACAACAAAATGCTTACTTTCAAGACCACAATGCTTACTTTGTGGGGTCGTGTGTATTTCATCATTTTGATTTTGCTCAGGTTTTATATAAAATTCTCAAAATACCTCTCATTCTATTATTGATTTTGAACGACGGTGTTATCAGGACTAAAGTGTAAGTTGTTTTAGAGATCAAAGTGGAAAAATTAAAAGATTGGAGACTAAAATGTAACATATAAATTGGGGACCATTAGTTTAATTAACCCTAGAATAATTATGGGTTTTGTTATTTGGGTATGTAGGAGTGCCACATTTGCGCCAAGGGGATGTGCCACTGCAAGGTGGCAAGCCTGGATGGGCAGCACCACCGAGTCCTCGGATGGCGCCATGGCTCAAACTCTTGAAGACAATTGCCGAATCCCGTGGTTTAATTCCTGAGTTTGAGGTATATTTGCATTGTTTTATACATACAAGGAACTAGAAAAGCAGTAACGCCTTGCAATTTTTTTTATTAAACTTTAAGTTTCTACCAAAGACTTATTTATTTTGAGTTGATGAAACTGAATAATGAATAGAATATACTTTTTCAATGTATTGGAAGTATATGGTGTATTTGTTTACTTGACAATGCAAAGTAGCAGAGTTTAAGGAAGGTATTTAGAAGTGTCTAAAAGGGCTTCTGGCTTATGATAATGTAATACATAAGAGATTAATACCATGGTTTCTGCTCAATGTAGATTACGTTGGAAGCTACTCATCATGGACCAGAGACAAATACACCAACAATGTTTGTGGAGATTGGTAAGCTGCTCAAACTTGCTATACTAATTTGTTATTTATAAATAATCTTATTAATCTTGATAGATAAACTTCAGCATTGCATAACATATTGTTATGATTTAGAGAAAAGAAATTTTGAATTCAGCTTTTGAATTCAGTTTCGACTTAGTTAGAAGTTTGTTAATTAGTTGGGTTAGTTAGTTAGTTGGGTTAGTTAGTGGTTAAGAGAAGTTTGTTTGTTAGTTAGTATTGGATGTATATAGCTATGATTGAGAGGGGAAACAGGGGAGAGTTTTTTTTGGACTGTAATCAGGTTGTAGAGAAGAAAGTGAATAAACTGCAGATTCAGTTTTCTATTTCTCTCTTCTTCTTTTTCAATTACTGCTTTCTTCTTTCATAGCCATATCAATTGGTATTAGAGCCGGCTATTCTTGGCCTGCGAGAGGAATTCCACAAAAATGGCAGATGGAACTAGGGCACAAGAATAAAAAAAATGGATGAAGCAATACGAACGCTTAAAGACAGCAGCGATAGGCAAGTACAGGATATCAGAGAGATCAGGAATTCATTGAAAGATGTGAACGAAATCAAGGAATTGATTTTTGCCATGAATGTCAAGTATGATCAAATGGCAAAGGGAGTCTTTGGAAATCATCCAGAAACCATGGAAGCCCAGGTTTGTTCGGATTCACCTCAATCATCTTCTTTTTTCAATACCAGATATGCAAGAATTGATTTTCCAAGATTTTTTGGGGAAGATGCCACTGGTTGGTTGTATAAATGTGAGAGATTCTTCGATTATAACTCAGTTGAAAGTGCAAACAAGGTGAAATTAGCTACTCTGCATTTAGAGGATAAGGCCCTACAATGGTATCAGTGGTTTGAGAAATGCCATCGCCAGATTAATTGGGATCTGTTCAAACAAGGAATTATTTCCAGATTTGGGCCCAATTCTTATGAAGATGCAATGGGTGATCTGACCAAATTAAAGCAAACAACCACTGTGAAGGAATATCAGGAACAATTTGAAATTCTGGCAAATAGAACCTGCGAGTTACCAGAAGTTTTTTTCATTAGTTGTTTCATCAGTGGGTTAAGAGAAGACATTAAGGCAGGGGTGTTAATGTTCAGGCCTACTACGATAGTTCAGGCCATTGGATTGGCTAAAATGCAGGAGAATAGCATTGAAGCCATAACAAGAAGAGCAAGACAAGGGAATAGAGCAGGAGAATCTATTTTTTTCCATCAAGCCAAACAAAATCCAGTTATGAATCCTGTAAGGAAAGAACTACCAAAGGACTGGGAAGAAAAAAAGGCCAAAGGATTATGTTTCAAATGCAATGAGAAGTATACAAGGGGCCATATCTGTAAAAAGAAGCAGTTATATGCTCTGGAGGTTGAACAAGAAGATCAAGAACAGGTAGAAGACGAAGGTGCAGATGTGGAGGAAGACCAGGTTCCAGAAGAGGAATTACAAATTTCTATTAATGCCCTGTCTGGCTCTGTTTCCTACAGAACTATGAGGGTACAAGGAAATGTCAAGAAAAAGCTAGTTATGATTCTAATAGACTCGGGAAGTACTCATAATTTCCTAAGTCCAGAAGTAATCAAGAGAGTTGGGATAATGGCCTCAGAGATAGACCCATTACCAGTTTTAGTAGCTGATGGCACCAAACTAATGAGCACAGCAATATGTAAAGGATTTCGGTGGGAAATGTAAGGCATTGAATTTCAAGCTGACATGAGGATTTTGCAACTCAAGGGCTGTGACATGGTTTTGGGAATTCAGTGGTTAGCAACATTGGGTCCAGTGAAGTGGGATTTCAAGAATCTGAGCATGGAGTTTCAGTTGAATGACAAGAGGCATGTGCTAAGGGGAGGAAAGAAAGAAGAATTGACAGTCATTGGGGCTAATAAGATGAAAAAGATAGTTCAGAAACAAGCACAAGGAGTTGTAGCTCAGGTGTACTCTTTTCAGGCTGAATGTGATGAAATAGAGGATACATTACAACCAGACTTGGAACTAGACTTGGAAGCATTACTGGTTGATTATGGAGATATTTTTCAAGAACCTAAGACCCTTCCTCCAACCAGATCTCATGACCATTGCATACCATTGAAAACAGGGGCAGAACCTACCAATATCAGGCCTTACAGGTATCCCTATTTTCAAAAAACTGAGATTGAAAAACAGGTCAGCGAGATGTTAATTTCAGGAATTATTAGAACCAGTGTTAGTCCCTATTCTTCACCTGTGCTGTTAGTTAAGAAGAAGGATGGGAGTTGGAGAATGTGCATTGACTGTCGAGCCTTAAATAAAGCTACTGTGAAGGATAAATTTCCTATTCCTACTATAGATGAACTCCTTGATGAATTGTGTGGTGCTAAGTACTTTTCTAAGCTGGATTTGAGATCTGGTTATCACCAGATAAGGGTAACTCCTACAGATTACAAAACTGCATTTAGAACCCATGATGGACATTATGAGTTCATGGTAATGCCATTTGGGTTAACAAATGCCCCATCTACTTTTCAAAGCTTGATGAATGAAGTTTTTAGGCCTCACTTAAGGAAATTCATCTTAGTATTTTTTGATGACATTTTAGTATACAGTAGTACATGGACCAATCATTTGCAAACTACTTTGCAGTTGCTGCTAGTTCACCAACTGTTTGCCAAAAGGTCCAAGTGTGTGTTTGGTAAAGAGGAGGTAGAATACTTGGGGCATTTGGTTTCAGGAAAATGGGTCTCTCCTGAACCAACCAAGATTACAGCTATGACTAGTTGGCCAGCACCTGCTACCTTAAAGGAACTAAGAGGATTTCTTGGCCTCACAGGATACTATAGACGGTTTGTTCAAGGCTATGGAAAAATTTGTTCTCCACTAAATCAATTACTCAAAAAGGATTCCTTCCAATGGAACTCAGAAGCGGCAGTGGCATTTGCACAGCTTAAGGCAGTAATGACCACAATACCAGTTCTAGCTTTGCCTAATTATACTAAAGAATTTGTGGTGGAATCAGATGCATCGGGAAAAGGCTTAGGGGCGGTGCCAATGCAAGAGGGGCATCCGATAGCTTTTTGGAGTAAAGGCTTATCTGCACGAGATCAACTTTTATCTACCTATGAAAAGGAGCTAATGGCAGTGGTCTTGGCTGTACTCAAATGGAGGCATTACCTTTTGGGTAGGAAATTTCTTATCAGAACAGATCATCAAAGCTTAAAGTACTTATTGGAGCAAAGAGTGGGCACCCCTTTTCAACAGAAGTGGATTACTAAATTGTTGGGTTATGATTTTGAGATCATTTACAGATGTGGAAAAGAGAATGTGGCAGCGGATGCTTTGTCTAGGGGGGAGGATACTACAAATAACCTTGCTACTTTGCATGCTATTACTTTTGTGTCTACTAGTTGGTTAGCTGAAATCAAGCAAAGCTGGATATCTGATCCAATGGTACAACAAGTCATTGCTGATTTGATTCTTGATCATACTTCCCATAGGGGTTATCGTTGGGAGCAAGGGATTCTGACCTATAAAGGCAAATTGGTGGTAGGGAACACGCCTCAGCTCAAGATCCAGATTATGGAGGAATTTCATTGCTCTGCAATAGGTGGGCATTCAGGGATTGATAAAACTACTAAGAGAATTCAGAGAATTTTGTATTGGAAAGGGTTAAAGAATGATGTTTCGAAGTTGGTTTCCGAATGTGACATTTGTCAAAGGTTTAAGAGTGAAAATGTGAAATCCCCTGGATTGTTACAGCCTCTAGCTATTCCCAATCGAGTCTGGTCTGATATTTCTATGGATTTTATTGAGGGCCTTCCCAAATCCCACGGCAGATCTGTTATATTTGTGGTTGTCGACAGGTTAACTAAGTATGGCCATTTCATGGCACTTTCACATCCATACACAGCCAAAGATGTTGCTCAAGTATTCCTGGATCAAGTATACAAACTACATGGACTGCCCTCATCTATTGTATCCGATCGAGATGCAGTTTTCACTAGCAATTTCTGGCATGGGCTTTTCACTTTGCAAGGTTGCAAATTGTGTTTAAGTTCATTCTATCATCCACAAACTGATGGTCAGACAGAGATCTTGAACAAGTGCTTGGAGAATTATTTACGATGCATATCAGGTGACTGTCCTAGGAACTGGGTTAAGTGGCTTTCTTTAGCTGAATGGTGGTACAACACTTCCCATCATTCAGCCATCAAAACCACTCCATATTACGCTGTTTATGGTCAAGATCCTCCAGACCACACTTTCATTTCTTCCAACCCTTCTGCTGTGGCTGAGGTGGATAATTGGATACGAGAAAGAGCTTCAATTCTCAGAATGTTAAAAGACAATTTGCATCAAGCTCAGCACAGGATGAAGCATTATGCTGATATGCATAGATCTGACCGTGAATTTGAACCACATGACTGGGTTTATTTGCGGCTGCAACCTTATAGGCAGACTACCCTGGCTTTACACCGGAATATGAAGCTTGCTCCTAGATTTTATGGTCCATTTCAGGTTGTGGCAAGAATTGGAAAGGTTGCTTATCAGCTCCAGCTACCTGCTTCTGCTCATATCCATCCCGTGTTTCATGTTTCTTTGTTAAAGAAAAAGTTGGGTCAGCACATCGTCGCAGTTGTGCCTTTGAGCGTGAACTTGTTGCTCTACTTGCATGGCTACTTTCTTCTACTCCAGAAGCTCTAGCAACAGTGGCCCACGTCAAGCCATCATCATCATCAAACGCAGGCTCATTATCTTCATCAGATTCTCCATCCATCCTCCTAAGCAACTACTCATTGCTTTCATCAATATTTTGCAAAGATATGGGATCAAGAGTGTTGCGCATGTCATACCTAAATCTCAATGTTCTATTGTATTTGACATACACTAAATCATTGAGACGTTGTTGTTCCAATCTGTTTCTTTTCTTGCTATGAAGCTGCAAGTATTAAAAAGATATTAAATTCTATATAATGGGAATAAAAATATTTGAATTGAACAAAAAATTAGTTAGAAT